ATACGTGTGCACCCGCACGTGGTATTTTGTGGAAGAGCCACACTCAAGGGGCCAAAGAGGCGCATGTGGCTCGCGAGCCGCAGTTTGCCGACCACTGGGTTAAGAGATAGGATTTGAATTGGGACGGAAGGTGGGGATGGGAAGGGGATGCGGTTGGAGTTTGGCGGGAGCGGGCTGGGTGTCATGGTAGGCACCGGGGGAGGTTCGCCTCGTCTCGGTGTCCCTAAAGGAAGGATCTCAGCGCCATGCCTGCCAGGTTGCTGAGGACGATGTTGGAGAAGTCCAGCATGGGCACGTTGGACTTGGTGAAGAAGGTGATATCTATGAGTATGAGGCAGAGGCAGAAGCTGGTGAAGCCGGAAATGAAGAAGAAGGCCCAGGCAGAGTCCAGCAAGTCTAGGGAAGGAGGAGAACCAGGAACACCAGGATCAGGGTCAGGTAGGTGAGGACGACCTACATGGCAGCGAGGGTGGTCTTGCGGCAGGGAGCCCCATCCTGGGGAAGGGAGGCTGGTCCGGAGGTAGTGAGGACCGTTGCAGAGAAGAGGGGACACACCCGGGGCAGTGGGGTCATCCCGGGGAAGGCAGAAAGGGGTCCTTAGGACAGAGGAGAAACGCGCCCCGGGAATGGGGAGTCCAGGGCAGGCCTTACACGCATTGTGGTCTTGCTCATGCAGGCAGGAGACGTCAGAACACCGCACAACGAAGATGGTGTCGATGGGTATGGTTTGGGGCGGGGGGTCAGCAGGACCCCCAGGGAGCGTCAGTGGCACCTGGAAGTGGACCCAGGGCTGGCCCAGAGTGATGAGACCGATGATCACCGCGCCCACCAGACTCAGCACCAGGATCAGCTGGCGGCTGAGCTTCTTGGCCTGGTGCAGCATCCGTGTGCCCACGGGCAGCTGTGAATGTCTGCGTTTAGCCCTGACCGCAAACCTGCTGCAGAGAGCCCACCGCCAGTGTCAGCGCCGAGTCCAGCTCCCCAGCCCAACCATCCCAGGTCCAGCTGCCAGACCCGGTCCCACCCAGTCTACCCTTCAGACTCTTATCTTCTCTCTGTCCATCCTCTATACCCTCTCTCCCCCAGGTCCTGCCCTCCAGGCTCCCTTGCCTCCAGATCTAGCTTCCAGGCCCTGCCACCCTAAAATCCCCTCTCCAGATTCTGTGTTATGTCCTACCCATGGCCAGCCTGCAGGACCAGCTTCTAAGACCTGCCATACCTAGGTCCAACCTCTAATCTCTGCTATGCCAGGCATGTTCTGGTCCCTGTCCTTTGACTGCTGTCTCCCTCCACCCCCATCCCCTACCCTCCCCCCCACCCCAATTCTCACCCAGAACCTGGCCTTTTGCCTGGACCTCTGCCTCTCACCTGGCAGAGCTGGTGTCCGTGGAGCTGTGTAGCGGGATGCTTTGGACATCGCTATCTGGAGTATTTTTGCTTAATTGGAGGTTGTACAAAGATTCTTTGAAGTCCTCCTGGGAGATCCAGAGAATTTGTTCCATGCTTTCCATGCTGGCCTCGGGGCTATCGGTAATTGAAGGGGGGACGTCCACACTGGCCCGGTTTGGGAACTTGATGCCTGCTGGAAACTTTAAACTTTGACTCTGGGTGCTTGTCAAGTTGTCTCCCAAACTGGTTTGACTGGTGTAGGCAACTGATTCTATACAGGCCAGGGGGATGTGGGGCATCAGCGAAGGCTTGGGGATACTGAACCTACGCATTTGGAAACTCGTTTGGCCACTTGGCTGAACGGTCAGGGTGTTGAGAGGGGTCTCCGGCGGTGTGTCTTGGGGGCCGTCTTGGTGAACGCTGCTCACGGAGGGTGTCTCTTGGATACTCGTTTGGCTAATGTTAACAGTGGATGGCGTCTCTTGGATACTCTTTTGGCTAATATTGCCCAGGGATGGTGCCTCTCGGATACTGCCCCAGAGACTCTCATCAATGGGCGATGGCTCTTGGACGCTGGCCCGGCGAGTGCGCAAGATGGATGCAGGTCCTTGGACGCTGGTCCGGCGGGTGCGCAAGATGGATGCAGGTTCTTGGATGCTGACCCGGCGGGTGTGGATGACGGGCAGTGTCTCTTGGATAACAGGCGGGTGTTCCTGGATGCTGTTTTTTCTGTGGTCCTGTGTTCCTGGATGCTCACCCGGCGAGTGTGGACAGTGGGCGGGTGTTCCTGGATGCTCACCCGGCGAGTGTGGAGAATGGGTGGCGGTTCTTGGATGCTGACCCGGCGAGAGTGGGTAACGGGTGGCGGTTCTTGGATGCTGACCCGGCGAGAGTGGGTAACGGGTGGCGGTTCTTGGGTGCTGACCGGGCTAGAGTGGAGAATGGGTGGAGGGTCTTGGGCACTTAGCCTGGAGGTGTTGGGCAAAGGGTCTGAAGTCTCATCTTGAGTGTCACTTTCGGGATCTTCTGTAAGGACATCTGCCTGCTTGCTCTGTTGGCCAGATTGGGACTTGTGGGACATGTGGTGGTAGAGGGCCAAGCCAGTCCCTAGATGCACTCAACAGTCTGCCAACTGCCTCCGACCTTCTTTCCCGGCACCTCGGTGGCCACCGGAAGTCTGCTGGCCTCTCTCTGGGGTTCAGGCTCTGTCCCTTGGCCTTTTGATCTCTCTGTCCTTTCTTCAGTGTTTCTTGGTCTCTCCTACTGTCCTCAGGCAGGCCTCAGGGCTCCCGGCTGGCCCGAAGCTGGGGTTGTGGGGAGGTTCCGTGACAGTTGGAGAGGTTCCAGGAAGTTGGGACATTGGCCATGGATACACCCTGCACAGTGGACCTGTGTGAGTGACATGGGAGTTGGGACTGGGTCTGAGTGCATTCAGTGTGGGGTCTGGGCAGGGTCGGGATTGGGACAAGAAGAGGTCATAGCTGGGTCAGAGAGGTGTCAGGACAGGGCAAGGGGTGGATTGGGGGGTAGGGAGCAATCTCAGAGTGGAGACAGGGTTAGAGAGGGGCCAGAGTGGGGTCAGGACCAGGTAGGGTTGAGTCACCAGTGTCTCTGAGATGAGTTCTTACAGTTTCCAGAGGTCCTGAAGTTATAATTCCCTCTTCCTACCTGCCTCACTCCATACCCCTTCCAGGGCCCTCTCTGAATCCATTTCACCCCTTTATTTATTACTAGAGGCTCAGTGCACAAAATTTGTGCGCTGGAGGGGGGTTGTCCCTCAGCCCGCCCTGCATTCTCTTGCAGTCCGGGAGCCTTTGGGGGATGTCCACCTCCTGGCTTGCGATTGGGCCTAAACCAGGGGTCAGACATCCCTCTTGCAGTCTGGGGTTCTCGCAGTCCAGGACCCTTTGCTCCTTACTGCCCGCCTGCAGTGGAGGTGGGAGAGGCTCCTGCTGTGCTTCCCCTGTGGGAGCTCCGCAATGACCACCAGGGGGCAGCTCCTGCATTGAGCTTCTGCCTCCTGGTGGTCAGTGTGCGTCATAGTGACCGGTCATTCCGCTGTTGGCATTTTAGGGTTTTATTATATAGGATAGCAAAGGCTGTGTACCAGGCAATAGGGGTGCAGCGGGCGATAGGGGTGCAGATTTGTCCTCTATCCTAATGGGGGTCTATCCTGGAAAACTGGTGAAGGAAAAAAAAAAAATCAGTGAAGCCTTAGCTGATTTGGCTCAGTGGATAGAACGTTGGCCTGCGGACTGAAGGATCCCGGGTTCGATTCCAGTCAAGAGCAGGTACCTTGGTTGCAGGGTCCTCCCCCACCTGGGCCCTGGTCTGGGCTCCTGAAGAAGGCAACCAATCGACGTGCTTCTCTCACATCGATATTTCTCTCTCTCTTGCCCTCTCTCTCCCACTCTCCCTAAAAATCAATGGAAAACTATCCCTGGGTCAAGATTTAAAAAAAAAATGTCAGTGGAATAACGACTGACAAGTCTGTGAGGAATTGCACATTGTACTATAGGAGCATTTAATGAGCAACCTGACTAAGAACTGAGGCTGTGGGGGTCAGTTGCGGGGGGTGGGGGTGTCAGAAAGGAGATACGGAAGAAGTGACATTAGAGGTGAGGGTGATTAAGGCAGTCTGGGCAAAGGTGGAAGGAGAGTGCCCAGGTTGGAGGAGCAGGCGGGACTGCGTGGAGGTACCCAGGTGGGAAAGACCCTGTGAAGTCTAGTTAGTGAACAGTGAGACCCGGGGGGGCCCTTGCCAGCTGGGAAGGTTGGTGGGACCACAGGGGCTTGGTGAATATTGGGTGTATCCCCTGCGTTCACTCTTTTGACACCATGGGTCATGGCCTCGTGAACACCCTCTGGAATCTGTGTCATTGTTGTGTGCGTCCTGGGTTGAGATTTGTGACGTCGAAGGAGATAAGGGGATGAGGTCCAGAGAGGGGCTGGTTCTAGCGAGGGCTTGGGGAATCGGGACAGGAGGATGGGCTTGAGCTTGGAATAGGGCTGAGGATGGGGGATGAGGATGGGGGAGGGTTGGAGATGGTCACGGGCATGTGTTTGGGGTTGAGGACAGAGACTATTGTGGGTGGCGCTGGGGCTGTGAATGGGGCTGGAGACAAAGTTAAAACGGGGGATGAGACAGGAACGGAGATGGGGATGAGGTTGGCATCGGGGTTGGGGTGGAAGGGGATTGAGAACGGGGTGAAAGGGGAGGCTCGGGTGGGGATGGAGACACGGCTGTGCTCAGGGATGGGCCGCAGGAGGATGCTGGCCGATCCTGACCCCCCCAGTCCTCGATTCTTTCCCAGCGGACCCAAACTACTCCTGGGAGGAGGACAGAAAGTACATCCTGCGGGGATGGGCCCTGGTCTTCAGCACCCTCACGACCCTGATGGTGCTCAGCGCGGTGGATGGGCGGATGGCCTACCTGGAGGGCTCCTACTCTGGCTACATGGGCTTCTGGATCAACTGCAAGAAGTACAAATGCTCCAACGTGGGCCAAGTCACTGGTCAGTGGGGCCATGGATGGGCTCTGGGGCACTCTGCAGGGGGATCCTTGGAGATGATCAGGGGCAGGGAGCTTTAGGTGTCCTTGGGGGGAAATCTTTTCAGAGCCTTTGAGAAAGGGTTTCTGGAGATTCTCTGAAGGCCTTGTCAGGGGGTCTCCTGGGGTACTTTTCTTTTCTTTCTTTGTTTGTTTTTCTTTCTTTCTTTCTTTTAAAAAAACACCACCACCGAAGAAAGAAAACAAAATCACCACTGAAGTGAGAACTGATATTTTTTTTAAAAGAATTTTTTCTTTTAAAATATGTTTTTTAGCCAAATCCGGTTTGGCTCAGTGGATAGAGCGTTGGCCTGCGGACTGGGGGGTCCCGGGTTCGATTCCGGTCAGGGGCGTGTGCCTTGGTTGCGGGCATATCCCCGGTGGGGAGTGTGCAGGAGGCGGCTGGTCGGTGTTTCTCTCTCATCGATGTTTCTGATTCTCTATCTCTCTCCTTTCCTGCCGATGCTCTAACCACTGAGCAAAACCAGTTAGGTTTAAATATGTTTTTTTAAATTTGATTTGAGAGAGAGAGAGAGAGAGAAACATCGATGAGAGAGAACCACCAATTGGCTGCCCTCTGCACGGCCCTCACTGGAGAGCAAACCAGCAACCTGGTCATGTGCCCTGATTGGGACTCCAACCCGTGACCTTTTGGTGCTGGGGACAACGCTCAGCCAAACAAGCCACACCGGCCAGGGCTCCTGGAGTTCTTTCTGGCTCATAAGGAAATGGGACTGTCATATGCTTTGGAAAGTGAGCACTATACGTGACCGAAAGCCCGCCTGCCTCATCACTAGGTGGCTGGAAACACCATCACTTTCTCTCTCTCTCTCACTTAACATTTAGTTTTTCCAAAAAAGATGACAAGAGGTTTTCAGGAGGAACATTTTGCCTCCTTGTTGGTCTCTTCATTGCTTTTTCAAAAATATATTTTAACATATACACCCTAGAAATGATTGAGATGATTCTGTGGCGTGACCTCAAGAATGTGAGTGGGGGTGACTCAGGGGTCATCTGTGGGGTGACCCTGGTATGTGTAGTTGATTAAGGGGGTGTCTGGGGCTTATGTTTAGGGCAAATGGGGGTTGATTTGGGAGAACTCTGAGGGTGTGAGTGGGGATGACTTGTAGTTTACAGGTTCCCGGGGGGGTGATTTTGTGAGAGTCATATTTTGGGGTTTCTAGGAGGTGACTTTGGTGATGGGAATGGGAGTGACTTTGAGGACGTCTGTAGTCAAACTCTGGGGGGCCTTTGGGGGTACTGCTCAGGGGTGTCATTGACATGAGTTTAGAGGTTGACCTTGGAGAGCATCTGGGGGTGACTCTGGGACAATCCTCCCTCCCCCCACTCCCCCTCTTCCCCCCCAGTTCTCATCCACATGAGCATGGGCTTCATGATGCTGGCCTTGACCATTTGTCTCATCCTGGTCACCACCATGGCCCTCTCCTTCTGGCCCGTCTTCCGCCGCCTGAACAAGACCGACCTTGTCTTCAGTTTACTCAGCTTCAGCATTGGTAAGGGTGGGCCTGGGGGATGGGGTGCCCTCCCAACCCCAGCATCTGTGCCCTGGGAGGCGGATCTCAGAGCTTTCTGTCCCACGGTCACCTGGGTCCGTCTTTGACAGTTTCTCTCACAGTTCTCCTTCCTCTCTCTTTCTCAGTTGGGGTGAGTAGTGTGGGGGGCATCTCTGACTGTCGAGAGCGTATGTGTGTGTACGTGTGTCTGGAGGTTCCGGGATACCTGCTTAGCCTAGTGTCCATCTCTGGCCCCACCCAAGCACAGGGTTCCTGGTTATCCTCAGCATGACGCTCTTTGTAGCCAACTGCCAGGCCCTGAGACCAAAGCCACGTATTTCGTACCTGTTTACCTCCTACCTATGCTGGGGAAGCGGCGCCTTGATACTGTGGACAGGTGAGAGCGGGCTCCTAGGGAAGAAGGGGCGGGGCCTCGGGAAGAAGAGGCGGGGCATCAGGAAGAAGGGGCGGGGCCCCCCCCTCAGGAAGAAGGGGCGGGGCCTCGGGAAGAAGGGGCGGGCCGGGGAGAAACCTGGGCTGGGCCTGGGGCCCACATAGTGGTGAACCCAAGGAGGCGGGGCCTAGGGAAAGGGGGCGGGGCCTGTGCGGAACGGGTGTCCAGCGCCTACCCAGCTCCTCCTGCCCAGGAGTCCTGAACTACTTAAACTACGCGGGCATGTGGAGCCAGGCGTCGTTCAGCTGGGACCGGCGGGTGAGCTACTGGCGGTGGGCCTCGCGGCTCAGTTCTGTGAGGAACATGTCCAGACAGTCAGACTCAGACCGCAAGTCCAGTTCGCTCCCGGGCCAGGGGATCCCCGCCAAGCCTCCCTAAGCCATGGTTGCTCAGGACACGGACGGGTACCTGGGCCCGGGGGCGGGGATCAGACCCGCCTCCCTAAGAACATGCCTCGCCCTCCGAGGGCTGCTGACAAAGCCGGGACCCTCCAGCTTGGGCCCACCCTTTGCGGCTCTGTTCCCGTCCAGAGTCCTCCCCTGGTCCCCATCCCAGAAGTCAGACACTGCCCCCTTCCGCTCTGCACGCAGCTCCTGCCACGGGGCCAGTGGGTGTGGATCTGCCCCCATCCTAGCGTGGCCCCGCCCCAATCCCAGACAGGCCACGCCCAGATCCTACCTAGGCCGCGCCCCATCCCAGATAGGCCACACCCCAATCCCAGATAGGCCACGCCCAGATCGTAACTAGGCCCGCCCCCACCCCAGACAGGCCACACCCCATATCCTAGCTAGGCCCCGCCCCGATCCCAGATAGGCCACGCCCCCGTCATTGCTAGGCCATACCCCAAAGCCACCCTTCATCCTCGGAACTCCTCCCCCTCCGAGGGCCAGCCCCGCCCCTGGATGCCTCATCTTGCCCCTGGGCGGACACGACCCCCACCCAGCTTTTGCTGTCGCCCCTCCCCAGGAAGGCATGGCTTGCCGCAGCGTCCCTCGCCCACCTTCCTGGCTTCTGCGCCACAATAAAATGTGGGCACTACCCCGTTCTCAGAGTCCGATCCTCCATTGCACCCTCTCCCTCGGGGCAGGGTCGGGCCGGCCTGGAGTCCCGGCCTCCTTCTCTGCCTGTTTGTCTACACCTGCCT